TTGTTGTTGAATTGTAAGAGTTCATTTTATATTCTGGATTCTAGGCTCTTATAAGATATATGACTTGCACAAATTTTCTCCCATTCTGTAAGTTGTCTTTTCACATTCTTGATAATGTCCTCCTTTTATGATAATATCACAATGCACAAAAATTTATAAATTTGATTAAATCTAATTTATTTTTTCTTTTGTTGCTCATGCTTTTGATGTTATATCTACGCCATTGCCAAATCATGAAGATTTATGCCGATGTTTCTTTCTAATAGTTTTATGGTTTTAGCTCCTACATTTAGGTCATTGATTGATTCACTTTGAGTTAAATTTTGTATATGGTGCGAAGTAGGAATTCAACTTTATTCTTTTGCACATTTGTTTCTTTTAAAAGCCTCTAGTGGCTTGTAACTAAATAAGAAAGGGGGACGGAGAGCTGGGAAACTCCGACCTAGAAATATAAAAATGAGTGCTGTGAGGAGCATGAGTCTCAATTCATAGATTTCACAGTATGGACAGCATGGATGGATGACGTGGGTTTCAAAGTTTCGAAAGTTATATTTGACCTCTGCGGGGAAATCACCTACTATGTGCCAAGTACAGGGAGAAGCGTGAGCCAGTTTATAGATTTTGTAATATGGACAGCTTGGATGGACTACTTGGGTTTCAAATTTCAAGTTATGTTTGATCTCTGCAGGGAAAGCATCAATGTGTCAAGTACAGGGCTTGGTTCTTCATTGCTCCACAAATTTTATTTTTCTTCCTTCAATAGATTACATCTACTGAAGTAAGATTATATCTATTGAAGAAAAAAAGAAAGCCATGGTGCCATGGTATGTGTGTGTGTGTACTTATGGGTATATGATCTCATTTAATTTTCTCAACAGGTTTCCAGAATAGGCAATATTATCTCTATTTATAGATGAATCATTTGTGGCTCAGTGAGGTGGACTAACATGTGCGAGGTTACAGAGCTAATAAGTTTCAGAGCCAGAATATGAATACAGATCATTTTGCAAAGGCTGTATGTGTCAATCATTATAATCTAGATTATGATACAGTAATAAATAATTCCTAAGTATCCGTGCTTTATAACCACAGAAGTTTTTGTCTCATGTTACATGTTCACCCTGGATCATATCATCTTCACTCTGTGTCTCAGCCTGATAGAGCAACCTGTTTCTGGAATATTCTTTGTCTTATGGCTTTGGGAAAAGAGAACTTGGCAAACCGTGTGCTGGGTCTTACAGGTTCTGCTTGGAAGTGACACATGTCACTTCCCCTCACTTTCATTAACCAGAAAAAAATCATGGTGGGCCAGGTGCAGTGGCTCATACCTGTAATCCCCGGACTTTGGGAGGCCGAGGCAGGAGGATCACTTGAGGTCAGGAGTTCCAGACCAGCTTGGCCAACATGGTGAAACCCCAACTCTACTAAAAATACAAAAACATTAGCCAGCATGGTGGTGCATGCCTGTAATCCCAGCTACACGGGAGGTAGAGGAATGAGAATCGCTTGAATCTGGGAGGCGGAGATTGCAGTGAGCTGAGATCATGCCACTGCACTCCAGCCTGGGCAACAGAGAGAGACTCCATCTCAAAAAATAAATAAATAAAATAAATCACATGGTGAAGCCTGACATCTGAGAGAGGGGGAAGTATAATTTGTACTCAGGAGAAGCAGCAAAAATGATGAACAATAATAGACTCTGTCACAGGTCTCCTCCCCTCTTGTAACAAATACTTGCTTCCCTTCTCCTCTCGTATATACAACATACTTACCTTTCCCCAAAGTCCGGTCCAGTCATGGTACCAGGCTCCAAGTCCAAGATCTTGTGATCGTCTCTATACTAAGTCAGGATGTGACTCCTCTTCATCCAGAGACTTGTGAACTTTAAAACAATCATATACTTCCCCAACCCACCCCCAAATACATACTCAATATATAATGATAGATAAGGGACAGGATAACTGAAACAAACACTTCCATTTGGAAACAGGAAGATTGGGAGGCACAACAGTCACTGATCCATAACAGTTCTGAAATCAGGCTGGACACATGTTGCGAGGGGCCCCTAGGATGGGGAAGGTTCCTTCATGAGGCCCTGATGCCACCTCCTGCGAGTAGCTCTCCTTTCACTTTCCCTCCGTGGCTTTGAGCTCCACACTCTGGGAGGTCCTGCCCTTCCTTTTCCCTTATTCTTATTGACCACATCTGAAGAGGGCATCAGAGAATATGCCCTTCATGGGGGCAGCTTTTTCAGCCTGTTTCTTTCCCATACGAGGATGGGGGCCCAAGGGTCATTTTATGTCATTTTAAGTGTCAAACATTGGCAGCCTCTTATAGGCCATGCTAATGACTTTTTTTGGTCCTATGCTTTTCTACAACATTAATCATCTTCTTATCTGTTTGGTTCAGCTGTGTGTGCCATAGCCACATACAATTATTTTCTAAACATGTCTATCTCTCTCCAGACTTAATTATTGCTACCTTGCACTTATGAAGCTTCTGAGAGAAACATATTCTTAGTTTTCTTTATCTGAACAATTCTTTCCCAACTGAAAGGATTTACCAGGTACCATCTTGGTTGGTCCTTGCTACAAGGTTGAATTTTTTTTCTTTAACAGACATCTTGAGTATAATTTACATGCTGTGTAATTCGCTTATCGTAAGTGTACATGTGATTTTAGTAAATTTATAATTGTGTAACCATAGCTACAATCCAGTTCTAGAGCATTTCCAGCAACCTCCAAATTTCTGCATGTTCATTTACAGTCAATCCTTGTCTCTGCCCCCAGTCCTAAGCAATTACAAATATTTCTACTTCTTTTTTTTTTTTTTTTGAGATGAAGTCTCGCTCTGTTGCCCAGGCTGGAGTGCAGTGGCACAATCTCAGCTCACTGCAAGCTCTGCCTCCCGGGTTCATGCCATTTTCCTGCCTCAGCCTCCTGAGTAGCTGGGACAACAGGCGCCCGCCAACACGCCCGGCTAATTTTTTGTATTTTTAGTAGAGACAGGGTTTCACCGTGTTAGCCAGGATGGTCTCGATCTCCTGACCTCGTGATCCGCCCGCCTCGGCCTCCCAAAGTGCTGGGATTGCAGGCGTGAGCCCCTGCACCCGGCCAAATATTTCTACTTCTATAAATTAGCCTTTTGTAGACATTTCATATCAAATGAATCATATAACATGCAGTGTTTGGCAACAGTTATTTCATTTCGCATGATGTTTTTGAGATTCATACATGTTGGAGCCTGTGTCTATAGTTTGTTCCTTTTAATTGCTACATAGTTCCGTTGTATAGATATGCCACATTGTGTTTGTCCATTTCAATAGCTAATGGATATTTAAGTTGTTTCAAGATTAGGGCTGTTAGAAAGAAGGCCGCCATAAACATTTGAACATGTCTTTGTATGAACATGTTTTCATTTCTCTTGGGAAGATCTCTAAGAGTTGAATTGCTGGGTCTCATGACAAATTTAAGTTACTTTTTAGAGAACCTTCCGGTTTTCTATAAAGGCCTTTCTTGACACTACAACGCTGAATTTTCATCAACCTCTGTTACTTGAGGTTCTCAGCCTTCTGTTTTTCTGTAGTTATGAGAATAGGTTAGCTCTTCCAACTCCCTAAGACCCTGAAGTTTTGGACTCTCTATTCTTTGTCATTCTTACAAAAATTGTCATTTTTTTGAGCCCGTTTCTTTCTTGTAGTGCCTTGTCAAACATAGTTAATAACAACCAAGGCATGCTATCAACATTCTTACTCCATGTCTTCATTTGAAACCATAGCACATTCAGTTCATCATCTGCCTTCCGAGTGAAGGCAGGCAACACTTTGACTGAATGCTTCGTCACCGTCACCGCATAACATAGAGATGACTTCCTCTCAGCCTCTGGTAACAGTTTCCTTGACACCTGGCCCAAAGACAATGGATTTCTGTTACACAACATACTATTTCTGATAGCAATTTCTGTATTAGTGAGGATACAGAGATTGTGTTCCAGTAATGAATGCCCGTGAATCTCAGAAGATTATGAAAACAACATCACACTTGTAATCCCAGTGTTTTGAGAAGCTGAGGCAGGAGAATTATTCGAGACTGCACAACATAGTGAGACCCTGTCTCTACAAAAAAATTTTAAAAATTAGCCAGGCGTGGTGTCCCATGTCTGGAGTCCTAGCTACTCAGGCAGCTGAGGTGGGAGGATTGCTTGAGCCCAGGCTTCCAAGGTTGCAGTGAGCTATGATCGTGACACTGCACTCCAGACTGGGCTACAGAGCAAGACTCTGTCTCTCTTAAAAAAAAAAAAAAATCCATCCTCCCCCCTGACAATAAAACAGTGTTTTCATTTTTTAATCCGTGCTACATATCCATCCTGATAAGCCACACTATGCTATACATCATCTTTACTCCAGAACATAGGGTGATCCCCATGAACCCAGATGAACCCCATCTAGAACACTGCTTGTCTTCTGGGATAGGGCAAAGAGGACACAGTGAATCATGTACTAGATCTTAAAGCTTCTGCTCATACTGAATTAGAGCAGGCTGTGTGGCCAATCCTGACACCAATAGGGCAGGGAACTATAATGTTTTCCCAGGGAAGGGCAACAAAAATTATGGACAACAGTATAATTTATCACATTATTCGTTTTCTTCTATATCCTGGGGACCATAAAGAAGAAAGAAGCAGTTGTCTTTTTGTGGTAGTTTTGCTCAGAGCTGCCTAGAGCGAGGACAAGACAGGTGACCTTTCAAAATACCTTGCAGACTAAGGATGTGGATTTTCATGGCGGTTGGCCCAGCCGCAGGGCTCTGATGCACAGAACTAATACCTGCTGTTCCTCTGCCTCCACCAGCCCTATCTCTTTGGCTCAAGGAGAAATTTTATTGGGTGGGTTGTCTTTTCCAAAGTTTACTACCCAACACCCAATGCTCTTTGGGGCATTAGTGAATCCATTTTTCTTGACTTCCACCATAAATTCACCCACTTATGTGTTTTCTTCCCAGCTGTCTTTTGGGGAGACATTGCCTTAGATGAAGATGACTTGAAGCTCTTTCACATTGACAAAGTCAGAGACTGGACCAAGCAAACAGTGGGGGCAACTGGACACAGCACAGGTAGGTACTACATCCTCCCTTCTCCTGCCCTGACGGGAGGGACGAGGGACTCCAGCAGGGGGAGATGTGGACCACAAGTCATCGATATTTGACCTGCTAGTCCAATGCCCCCCTATTTGTGGAAAATCAGAGGAGTCACTTCTCCTCCTCCACTGGAACCAGTGGAGCTGGGGCTTCCAAGTTTGCTGATTCTTCTAAGAAAATCTCCATTTGCCTCTTTATCAGAGGGTTCAGGCTGGAGCTTGGTGTTGGTTCTTAGGACTCTGGCCTCAGGATTCAGCACTTTCCAGATTGGAGAGTCAAGTGAAATGGAAACAGATAACCATAATACCTCATAGCAAGTGTGTGAGAAACCATGAGCAGTGGGAAGACAGAGAGTGAGTGGAGAAGCCTGCCTGGTGTCATGTGAATGGGCACTCGTGTGTGGTGTCTTGAAGGGTGAGGAGTCCTGTGTGGGAAAAAGGGCATTTCAGGTGGAATGAGAGCCTTTTGCAAAGGCAGGAAGTATGAGGGGACTCTATTTGAGGAACAGAGGTAAGGTGCAAGTCACTGGAGGGCAGCCCTTTGGGGTGGGCTGTGGCAGGAGATGCATCTGGAGAAGTTAGCTGGGGTGGACGGTGAAGGGCTTGTCTGTTGAGCTCATGAGCTTGGGCTTTGACCACTGGGCAGTAGGGGTTCTGATGAATAGGAGCATGACTGGCTCATCTTGAAATCAGGGGTGCCTGGGTGGAGGCCCCTCTCCCACTGCTCTTTGCAGCCCACCAGGTGCCGTTGGGGTGCTGGGTTTCTGGCTGGCTGCTTGGGCAGCCTCACTATGCCGATTACAGTGGGGATGGTGCTCGGGGGAGGGTTGTATCAGGCAGTTCCTCTCCCAGGCTGCTCATGTACGTGGTGACATCTAGGAAGATCTCTGGAACCTGGAGGGAGGTAGGTGGGCATGTGCCTGGGGCACCTCCTGCAGTTCATGAGGAACCCGAGCAGCTACAGGGACCTGCCTTCAAAGCTCCCTGCAGGGGTGGGTGGATGAGGGCTGACATTGCCAGGAGGCCACAGGGACCTATCGCCAGTGGCTGGGAGGAAGGTGGAGCAGTTATGTACTTTAGGGTTTCTTTTTGGTGTCTTGTTTCATGAGTGTCATTTCTTAGGATTTTTGAGGTCTTGTATAAGGTTTGAAAGTCTATTCACATTGTAAATGGAGTTTTCAATTATTTTTAATACCAATATATCCAGAACTTTACTTAAACGCTAACCAAGGGAAGCATCTTTGCATAATTCTACCACTCTGTCTAATCACACTTTTCTCCCCAGTTCTTACCTGGAGGCCTAGAGAAGCTGACCTGACTGTAACCTTGTGTGTGTAGTTAAAATATTTTTAAAACATTTTTGATGGTGTTACTTAAAAATAGTGAACTTCACGTATCTCAAACATACAGCATGATGAACTTTTACATATGTACACACCCATGGGACTACCACCCAGACCAAGATAAGGAATATTCCAGACCCCAGAGACTCCACACACCCCTCCCAGTTAACACGCATACCAAAGTAGCCACTGGTCTGACCTCTATCACCACAGATTCCTTTTACCTGCATGGAGTCGTACAGTCTGTATTACTCTGTGTCTGGTTTCTTTCAGGTGGCCTGTGACTGAAATTCACTCATGTTGTTGTGTTGCTCTTTTTCATTGTTGTGCAGTATTCTATTGTGTGAACGGACCCTGGTTTATTTGTTCTTCAGTTGACAGACATGTGGGCAGTTTGTGGTTTGGGTTATGATAAATAAAGCTGCTGCTGTCATTCTTAGACATAGTGTTTTGGAGAACACGAGCACTCATTTCCACTGGGCCTGTGCCCAGGAGTGGGGTCGCTGGGTCATAGGGCACACACAGTTCAGCTTTAGTAGGTACTGTTGGAGAGTCCTCCAAAGTGGTTGTACCACTTTAGGCTCTAAGTGGATGCGTACTCATTTAGAAGACAGGAGCGGTGTCTGGGCAGGATCCAGTAAGGCCTTTGAGTCCTGGTCTCCGCGGTTTGGGTCTCACTGAGTTGACGCCTGCCCACCATCAAGAATGCTCAGGGTTGCCTCTCTCAGCTCTCCTGCTGTCCTTGGGGACCTAAGGTTGGCAGATGGGAGTGAGAGACCCCAAAGAGAGGCGGGGCAGTGGCCAGCCACCACGCCAGCTGCGTGCCTAGCTCCTAGAGGGTTGTGTTGAGGGAAGGCTGCCTGAGGATGCTGCAGTGGAGGAAGCCCAGCAGCCCTGCCTTCTCCCTCATGCCACTTGCTCAAGGTGGACATGACCTAAGAACTCGGAGGCCTGTCTTCTCCCTTCTCTCCTGTGAGCTGATAGAGCTGATAGAGCGTGGAGCTTACATCCTGCCTGGATTTAGATCCCCCAGAGTCTGGGCCAGGACCTTGTACCCAGAAGGTGCTGGCCAACATCACCAGAGAGGAGGTGGAGGCAGATGAAGATGGCAGACCCTGGAGCCGTCTCCCAGGGCCTTAGAGATCCAGAGCCTCAGCAGGGCTTTGCTCCCAGAAGGGTGGTGAGAGCGTTGACCGTGGTCACAGGCTTTGGGGTCAGACTGCCTGGGCTTGCATCCTTAAGCTGGGCCTCAGTTTCCCCATCTGTCAAATGCAAATAGCAATAATAGTTACCTCAGAGTAATGCCGTGAGGATGAAAAGAAAGAATATGTGCAAAGTGCTTAGCACAGTGCCTGGCACATAACAAATGCTTATAAATTTCATCTGCTTCCTCCTCATTATTATTAATATTCGCAGAGAGAAGACTGACCTGGGAGGGTTTACGATTAAAGTGGAGAGTGGGGAGCTGGGCATGTCACCCCTGTGGTCCCAGCTACTTGAGAGGCTGAAGCAGGAGGATCACTTGAGCCTGGGAGGTCGAGGCTGCAGTGAGCAATATCACACCACTGCACTCCAGCCTGGGCGACAGAGTGAAACCTTGTCTCTAAAAAAATTAAAATTAAAATTAAAACAAGTAGAGAATGAGGGAAATTTGCTGGGTACGGAGGGAATGTGGGGGCTTAGGAATGAGGCCTTTGAAATACATAATACTTGGTGTTTCCTCCTTCCCAAGCTTGAAACACACTTTTCTAGTGTGTTTTTATGGCAAAGTGATTTTTATCCTGATCATTTTTCTCTGAGGGCCAATAGTACTTTGCATCTACCTAGAATAGTAGGAATAGTTATTTTATCGTCAGAATGGGAATATTTTTTATTGTTTTTGTTGATTAAACTAGTGCTGCTTGTTGTTTAAAAAAAAAAAAGTCCAATAGCTCATAATTGTATAAAGTGGAAAGTGAAAATCCCCTGTTATCTGAGCCCCAAAGATCCCTGGCATTACCAGTTTGCTGGATTCTTTCCAGACTTAATGTGCTCGGGCTGTGTGTGTGCATGTGTGTGTATGTGTGTGTATGTGTGTCTGTGTGTAACATAAAAGGGATTAGGGATTTTACTCAATGTGCTTTGGCGTTGTGTGTGTTTTTTACTTAACACTCTATCACGGACATCTTGTTATGCAGCACGTTGTGGTCTCTCTTATTTTAACGGCAGTAGTGGTCCAATGTGCAACTCTGCCGTGATTTACCTAACTAAGCCCTTATAGATAAATGTGAAGGTTGTTTCCCATTTTTTTTCTGTATTTTTTTTCCTCTTAGAAGAAACGTTTCTATGAATAACTTTCTGCATATATTTTTAAACATTTGTTTTAATTTTAAAAATCTTTAAAAAGGAATCACACCTTTACCCTCTTTTTCTACATCCAAATGTGTGGGAAGATGTATTTTTAGATGCAAGTTAGTCTCATTTCCAAGCTTTGGTAAGTGCCTCTGTGTATTAGTCTATTTTCACCCTGCTGATAAAGCTGTACCCGAGACTGGGCAATTTACAAAAGAGAGAGGGTTAACTGGACTCACCGTTCCACATGGCTGGGGAGTCCTCATAACATGGCGGAAGGCAAGGAGGAACAAGTCACATCTTGTGTGGATGGGGGCAGGCAAGGAGAGCTTGTGTAGGGAAACTCCCGTTTTTAAAACCGTCAGATCTCGTGAGACCCATTTACCATTGCAAGAACAGCATGGGAAAGACCCGCCCTATAATTCAATCATCTCCCTTTGGGTCCCTCCCACAACACTTGGAATTACAGGAGCTACAAGATGAGATTTGGGTGGGGACACAGAGCCAAACTATGATTCTGTTTCTTTTGTTGGAGGGTAGGGAGAGGGCTCAAAGGGAGAGGTCTGAGGTCCCTGGAGGGGGACATGGGGGGAAGGGTCCAGAACCCTGCAGTGCAGCCCCAGAGGCCTCCTTTGCCTGTTTATTCTGTGATCTTGGAACTGCTTTTTCGGCTGCAGAAGGAAACCATGTCAGTTGCCCTAGAGGTGACCTAGGCAGCCTCATTTGCTAGATGTGCCCAAATTTAGTCAGTAGCAGAATCAGGACTAGAATCCAAGTTTCTCAACTCCAAGGTTGCTGTGTCTTCTACTTTACCAACCTGCCCGTCATATTGCCAGCTAGAGGAGCTGAGAACAAGAGTGCAGGTGGTCATTCCTTTGCTGTCACTTGGAAAGCAGGCTGCAGTCTTTCTGTGCCAATGGTGAGCCAAGACCTTATGCCTGGATTGGCTTAAGAGCGCACTTCGGGTACTGCAGTGTCCACAAAAAGTCACTGACAGCTTTGGGATTCACAGCAGGGAGCATGTCTTCTGTTCATTTGGGGCCATGAGCTGTGTCAATTTCATGCCAATTTGTCTCCCTGCCTCTAGTCTCTCTTACTCCATTCAGCTTCTAGCTTATCTTCCTGGCAACCTTGTGACCACTGTAGTAGGTCCTCCCAAAACCCATGTCTACCTGGAACCTCAGAATGTAATCTTATTTGCAAATAGAATCTTTGCAGATCTAATTAGTTAAGGATCTTGAGGTGAGATCATCCTGGATTTAGGGTGGATCCTAAATCCGCTGACTGATGTGCTTATAGGAAA